TTGGCCCCACACAAAATGGTGGCTCCTGGAGCAGCTAAGCGTCCCGAACCAGGAAGCAATGGATTTCTTGCTTCTGCCACAAACTCCCCAGCTGTAAGTCTTCCAACCTTCTAAATATTCCTTTATATGTGGTTCAGAGTACTGGGACCATTCTCTGAGCCTTTTGGTCCTGTATTCTGTGGTGTTCTAGGCAGAGCTCGTCACTACACTTCCTCCCGAGCTGCCATCTTTTTCCGGTCATATTCCTTTTAAATGTTGAGTTTGGGGAACAAAAAAAAATTCTAAAGGCAGCACAATAAAGACTATAGTGTGGATGGGGTAAAACTTCCAACATATATCTAAGATAACCCATGCTACCTCAAAGAATGCAAAAGGAGGATGTAGTTGTAATGAAAAAAAATTCCTCAGCACAACTTTTCTGGCCTTTTTCTCACCAGTGCAGTTTTCAATTTTCTTAAAACTTCTTCTTAATATGGTCCCATAACTGTCCTGTGTACTTCGAGAAATTTTATCAAGATTACCCTTTGGGACCCCAAAATACAGCATAACCTTCTGCGCTTGCCTTGCTACCTCGAATTTACCTGGCCCAGCAGATCTCCTCAGAAGGCATTGTTTTGATTGGACCTTTCTCTCTGGATAATATTCTTAAATCCAGGACTTCTCAGTTACAATACATCCCATGAAATTGTTTTCATTAGCTTTGATCTAGATTAAAATTCTGGTGGAAAGAAACATCACACAATGTTTTAAGCATTCATTGAGCTTAAAGGCCAAGATATTCACTTAAAATTGAAAATGCTAAACCATATGAGATCCCAGCTTCAGTAGCTATTGGATCCGTGGTAATTCTGTCTTCTTCCACCAGTTTCTAAACTTCAGCCACAGATTCTTCACTCATCAGGTTAATGGTCTTCCCTCTCTTGGTTCATCTTTAAGGTCTTCCCAACCTTCCTTAAAATGGTTGATCCATCTAGAAACATAAAGTGGGAAAGCATTTCCATAAACTTTATGCAAAGCTTCAATGATTTGAGAAGATGTCCACTTCAGTTTTGTAAAATATTCATATTAGCTCTGACCTCAAAAGTATTTTTTCCCGTGGTACAAAATGTATCCATATTTTTTCAAGACACCCAAACATGACTAAGGCAAGTGTATTACTAAAAGAACTTGTTTGTAACTATCCACTGATCGCAGAAACAGGTTTCAACATGTTTTGTTTTCATGTATAAACTGGAGCCCTAGTAGCAATATGTGTTTTTGCTTATATTTGAATATCCATGTACATTAAACACAGCACATCAGAGTCACAGTTATAGATGCTTCCTTGATATAGCCAAGCAAGTTGCAGGCTTGGTTTATGGGTTAAAAGGCTTAGGACCATAGTCTCAGAGGACAGTTTAGTCAATTGGCATAGCATAATTCATAAAGTTAATGAATTGGTAAGCAGTGTCTGGGTTCTTAAAAGATTGAGAGCAGTTATCTAATAGATAAGTGTAGATATGTAATCTATGGGCAAAATATTGAATGATGCAGAGAGCATCAAAAGAAGATGAAAGGAATACACAGAGTCACTGTACCAAAAAGAAATAGTCGAGGTTCAGCCATTTCAAGAGATAGCATATGTTCAAGAGTCAGTGATACTGAAGGAAGCAATCCAAGGTATTGGCAAAAAAAAAAATAGAAAGCATTGGCAAAAAAACAAGACACTGGAATTGATGGAATACAAATTGAAATCTTTCAACAAACTGATGTGGCACTGGAGGCACTCACTCATCTATGGAAAGAAATTTGGAAGACAACTACCTAGTCATTTTACTGGAAGAGATACATATTTGTGCCCATTCTAAAGAGAGGTAACCCAACAATGCAGAAATCATCAGATAATATCATTAATATCACATGCAAGTAAAATTGTGTTAAAGATAATCCAAAAATTACTGCAAACATACATTGACAAAGAACTTCCAGAGGTTCAAGCTGGATTCAGAAGAGGACATGGAATGAGGATTATCACTGCTGATGTCAGATGGATCTTGACTGAAAGCAGAAAACACCAAAAAGATATTTGCCTGTGCATTATTGACTATGCAAACAGTTTTGATTGTGTGACTCATGACACACAATTCAGAGAATACTCATTGCTGAGAATGAGTATTCTGGAACACTTAACTGTGCTCATGAGGAGCCTGTACCAAGATGAAGAGTGTTTGAACAGAACAAGGGAACACAGAATGGATTAAAATTGGGAAAGATGTGCACCTGGGTTGTATTTTTTCATCATACTTATTCAATCTGTATGCTGAGCAAATAATCTGAGAAAATGGATAATATATAGACAAATGTGGCATCAGGATTGGCGATATGCAGATGATACAACCTTGCTTGCCGAAAGTGTTGTTAAGTACCGTGGAGTCGATTCCAACTCATTGTGACCCTGCACAGGGTTTCCAAGGCTGTAAATCTTTACGGGAGCAGAAAGCCTCATCTTTCTCCCGCTGAACAGCTGGGGTAGTTTCAAACTGCCAACCTTGAGGTTAGCAGCCCAATTCGTAACCACTACACTACCAGAGCTCCTTTGCTGAAAGTGAAGAGGGCTTAACATACTTAAGAATAGCAAAGACCACACCTTCAATATTGGATCACACCTCAATGTAAAGAAAATAAAATCCTCACCATTGGACCAGTCAACAGCATCCATATAAATGAAGAAAATATTGAAATTGTCAAAGGCTTCATTTTGATCAGATCAACCATAAACATTCATGGAAGCAGCAGTCAAGAAATTAAACAACATACTGCATTAGGCAAATCTGCTGCACAAGACATCTTTAACATGTAGAAAAGCAAAGATATCAGTTTGAGGACTAAGGTGCACCTGATCGAAGCCATGGTATTTTCAGTTGCTTCATACACATTTGAAAGTTGAACAGTGAATAAGGAAGATTGTAGAAGAACTGATGCATATGAGCTATGATGTTGGAGGAGAATATTAAACATATCATGGACTGCCAAAAGAACAAACCAGTCTGTGTTGTAAGAAGTACAGAAGTGCAACCAGAGTGCTCCTTGGAAGACAGATGGCCAGACTTTGTTTGTCATACTTAGAACATATCATCAGGAGGGACCAGCCCCTGGAGAAAGATATCATGTTTGGTAAAGTGGAGGGTCAGAGAAAAAGAAGAACCCCAATGAGATGGATTAGTACAGTGGTAGTAGCAATGGGATCAGGCTAAGCAGCGATTGTGAGGTTGGCAAAGGACCCGGCAGTGTGTTGTTCTGTTGTGTTCGCTATGAGTTGGTGCTACCTCTATGGCACCTAACAACAACAATAACAACTCATATATAGCAAAAGAGAATGAAGGAAAATAAAGGTTCAAAGAATAAACTGGTCCACATGAACCTCAACCCCTTCTACCCTGAGATGGAAAAATTAGATAGTATCCAGCTACCACTACCAACAGTTAAGACCAGTGACCCAGTAGAAGGTTCCAGATAAAACAGGTGATAAGTGTAGAACAAAATTCTAATTCCAATAAAGGCAGACCTTACTAGACCAATAGAGAACCCCCAATACTATTGCTCTAAGATACTCTAAACTTGGAACCGAAACTCATTTTGGAGGTCACCTTTCATCTAAATAATAAATAAACAATGATTGCCTGTGAGTTATATGCCCCCTTAAAAATCAACTGTATGAGACCAAACAGTCAACATATACCCAGAATCAAAGGTGAAAAGTCAGGGGAAGATTGATGGAAATAAACAGAATGGAAATAGTGAGAATGCTGGCACATTATAAAAATTGTGACCAATTTGTGTAAAAGTTGTTAAATAGGAAACTAATTTGCTATGTAAACCTTTCACCATGTTGACTTTACAGGTTTGGAAGTCAACATAATTAGATTCTCTATTTAATGCTACTGTTATTATTGTTTTATTATTATTATAGCCTCTGAAAGTATAGTGATTGAGAGCAGGAAATCTAGAAAACAAAAAAACCCACTGCCATCAAATCAATTCCAACTAATAGCAACCCTGTATAGGGTTTTTGAGACTATAAATCTTTATAGAACTATATAGCCTCATCTTTCTCCTATGAAGCAGCTGGTGGGTTTGAACTGCCAATTAGTTCAGTACATATCCTACCTACAGTGCCACACCAGACTCCTTTCTTTAATTAGGGCACCATTAACAAGACCTATTGCAAAACATTGTTGACACAGTGAAATAAAAATAAATAGAAGGTTCTGATGAGTAAAATGGACTCCTGGTATGGCGCTGTAGGATAAGCACTGGACTGTGAACTACAAGATCGGCAGTTCAAACCCACCAGCTGCTCCTCAGAAACCCTATATTCAGGGTCAGTGAGTTGGAGCCTACTCAATGACACTTAACAACAACAACAATAAGTAAAATAGGAGTTTTTGGAATTTTGTGAATAACCACAAACTTTTTTCTCTGGTTAGGTAAGAAGTGCAAACTATGAAACAGATTCATTTGTTCAGGAGTTTCAATTTAAAGTTCGGGATGAAATGGCCCATGTAACAGGACGTGTACTACCAGCACCTATGCTACAGTATGGAGGACGGGTAAAAATGCTTGATTTTTAATCATATACATAAAGTTTCTAAATAAGGAGAGAAGAGCATCCTAGCTAAGTCTGGAATTTAGAAAGTGTTTTATTGTTCCAACAATATTTATTTTAATAAGCTAGGTAGGTGTCTTTGTTTGAGTTTAGAAGAATTTTTGTTGTTGTTGTCTCTAATAATAAAAGTATAAATAATATTCACATATAGCTTTCTGTTCCACCTAGAATATCAGAAATATTCAATTTGACAATTTGAAATGCTTATTCCCAGCTCATTGAAATAAATGTGTGTTAAGTTTTTGTTCTTTTTTGCCTTGTTATTTTTCTTTCTCATTTTTCTGTAGAATCGAACTGTAGCAACACCAAGTCATGGAGTATGGGACATGCGAGGGAAACAGTTCCATACAGGAGTTGAAATAAAAATGTGGGCTATAGCTTGTTTTGCCACACAGAGGCAGTGCAGAGAAGAAATACTGAAGTAAGACTTTTCATTACTTTGGCTTTGAGACTTTTTTGTATTTAGATTGTATTTAAGTTTTAAATTACTCTGCTAATGTTATAGCCAATGTTGCCTCAGTATGGAGAATATTTAATCACTGAACTTTTAAATATGTTTCTTCTAAGTAGTTTGAAAATTCCTAAATTGTTTAGTCATAATAAAGTCATAAGTTTATTCTTCTACACATTCTAATAGACTGTCTTAGTTCCGTGGAATACTTTAACAAGTTACCACAACTGGGTGTTTAAAACAACAGACATTTGTTCTCTCGAGTTTTTCAGAAGTCTGAAATCCAGGTGTCATCAGGGTTGTGCTCGCTCCAGAGGCTCTGGAGGAATGTCCTTTCTTATCTCTTTCAACTCTGTAGCCTCAGGAGTTCCTTAAAAAAGTTTTAACTTCCTTTAAAAAAAAAAAAAAAAGTCTTTAAATAAAATATGGTGGCAGAGATTAAAGTTCCTGTGAAACCATAACTTGAATGTCTGCCTCCATCTTCACATAGCCTGCCATTTATATCTCTCTGTGTCTCTTCTCTTTTTTATAAGGATCCAGTCAGATTGGATTAGAGAGTATCCTACTCCAGAATGACCTCATATTCATTAATTTTATCTACAAAGACCCTATTCCTAAATTTGGTCATATGCACATCTGGGAGAGAGAGGATTTAAGACTTCTCTATATCTTTTGGGGCATTAAATTCAACCGTTAATATGCTTTTGTGGTCGCAGCTGCAACAGCACTGACCCAGTTTTGCTACTTCCCAACTGTATTGCCATGGATAATGTATTTACTCTCATATGCTCGGTTTTTACCTTTGTAAAAAAGAGAATACAAGTAATCCTTAATTTACGACATAGTCTAGTTACAATGTGCAATAGTCTGTTGTACATTGTAACGAGACTAAAAATTGGGGAGAGGACTGTACTCCAGGCAGTGTTGCCACATGTACCTTGCTGGTGTTACTGTTCTCAGAGCTCTTTGTTTTTTGTATTAGATACACTGTTGCAGCATGTAACTTGCTGGTGCTACCATTATCAGATGTTCGCTCTCAGATGTTTATGTGTAATGTTTCCAACTCCAAAGACAAATTAAAATCAAATTTATAAAAATACTGCTAATAAAAGGAAATACTAATGAGAACTTTTTAAAAAAGTAGTCAATTTACGACAGAACCTATTTACCAAAGAGTGATTGAAAAGAAGCCCCATTGTAAGTTAAGGACTACCTGTAATACCTTACCTAAAGGATAGATATTAAATAAAATTACAAGTGTAAGGAACTTGGCATAAATTGAACAACCAGTTAATGGTAGCTGTTATTTTCTTTTCATACTTCTGTATACCTTCTTAGCAGCAGCTGCCACTGAGTCCCACTTTTCCTAAATTTAATTATCATTGTTGTTGTTGTTAAGTGCCATTGAGTCGGTTCCAACCCATAGTGACCCTGAACAGGATTTCTGAGGCTGTAAATCTTTACGGGAGCAGAAAGCCTCATCTTTCTCCCACGGAGCAGCCGGTAGTTTCAAACTGCTGACCTTGCGGTTCACAGCCCAATTCATAATCACTACAAGGAAAATACCTCAGTATACAGTAGTGCTACTACCCTTCCCCATTAGGTATCTTCATTCTGACCACTCTAACCAAGTCCTCTAATCAAAAGGCTTGTGGGAAATAGCTTTTCTCCTGAGGAAGAAATTGGGGAACGCTTGCTGCTTAGTTTTAATTTTGTTGTGGTTTTTTTAAAATCACATCCTTTCTCATTTCTTCATGACCTTTAATCATAAATTTCCTCTCATTTCTTCAACATTTTTCTCTCAGGTAGCTGTTTGGTTACAGCCAAAAACACGCTTGGCTCTCCATTTAAAAAATAATAAAAAAGCAAAAAAGTGCTTCTCTTAATTTTAAGTTCCCTTTCAACTACTGTCTTTCCTATTTCTCAGTTAAATTTTGTGAAAAAGCAGGATTAAACAACTCATCTCTACTTCCTTACTTTCCAGATTTTGACCTCTACCATTCTATCCCCTTTCCCAGACTCTTTCCTTCAGCATAGAAGTGCTCAACAATCTTCTGTTGAACTTTTTTTTATAATCTTTCATTTTCAGTTTACATACCTGAGATACATATGTATCTTTTCTCCTTCCATAAAATCATAGTGCTCCACTGAAACTGGATCTTGGAATATCTCCAATAGCTTTGTACTTATCAAGTCTAATGGTTCTTTCTCAGTCATTATTTTCTTCAGAATAAGTGCAGCATTAGAGAAATTATCTCCTCTCTTGCATTCCTCTTGATTGCTTCTGCCTCTTGATTGACATCCAAGGACAGAAATCCCACCTTTGAGCCAGACTTAAGGGCCCTAGCACAAGGAGATTCCTATTTAACAGCAACCACGCAACAGCCACTCATCTGTC